GATGTTCATGTTGCTGCGGTCTGCAGTCTGGACGTTAGATGTCGCTGAAAATTACACACTGTAGCTTTAAGGTTAGCATAACAAAACCCAACATTCATAACTAGAAATAACCTAAACAAATTGATTGTACTAGAGATTCCGATTCAGTAAAGTCATAGCATCTCATGGAAAGAAACTCCACGTGATCTAATACTGTAGCAACAAAGTCACAATCCTAAAACACTAATTTTAATATCTAACTTCAAAAAATGACCTTGTATAGTAATAATATAACTAATACCTGGTTTGGATTTTACTCAAAGTAGTGAGAGGAATCGCAGTTTAGAAATAATTCTGCTAATAATGAATTACATTATAATTCTTTTCACTCAATAAAATACTTATGCTGTTTTTTTGTTTTCATATGTATCAGAGTGTTAAACATAACTTTAAGTTAGGGACCAAATAACAAATTTTGAACTTTATTGCAAAATTCCAATTGTTGAGGCAGGGGGTAAAAGGAGTGCAAATGTTTTTATTGTGTCTGAGAGAAAAGTCAAATTGAAATTGTTTCTTCCTGAATTACCAACAGTACCATCTGAAGAATGAATTTACAAATATCACTCAATAAAGGATGTTGGCTGTGATTTAACACCGAGAGCAGCAGTACTTTGGAAATCTTTGAAATAGGTCTGGGGGCATATAACACTCTTAATGGTCCGGCTAACAACCACAGCAAAATGGGGCATGGGTTTGGAAATAAGCCACTCCATTGCAAAACACAAACTGCTTTTTCATCACATTAAAATAAGAGGACAGTTTATATTGTAGACACTGTTAAGCCCTTTATATAAATCATGAAAATGCTAAAAATATAATCAACCTGTAAAAAGTTTTAGTACGGCGCATATGATGCAGCCTATATGAGCCAATTTATTTTTGAAGGATTTAAATCCAAATATAGTTAACTAAACACTTCTGTCCATGACATAAAGTGAAGCACATTGTATCCCCTAGTATTTCCTGTGCTTATAACATTTATAAAGTGTCATTTATAGCAGTTGAATATGTCTCTATGCCCATTTTGTGCTGGCTGAAACAAGTCCCTGCACTGCAATTTAAATATAAAGCCTTACCAAATGGCCTGGGCTGGTTATAAGACCCACAGGCACAGTCAGCAACAGAGCTCCTTACCCTCAAAACCACACCTGGCTTGGGAACCATAAGATTCGTGGAAGAATGCGCTTAGAGTTTCCATTTTGCAACCTATGTGTGGATAACGCAGTACCAGATGGAAAAAGGCTAATAATAACACAGCAAGAGCGTTAATCCATCCTTCATCTGTGACTACGAATAGGGTATGGACAGTAAAATGTGGATAATGTCACATCTAAACATATGTGGAGTAAACAGCTGGTGAGCTGGCAGACAGACTATAACACCAGTTAATGTCACATATTGAGTAAAAGCAATATCCTTTTAAATTTGGAGCATGGTAGGGGATCTACGTTAGGCGTGTTTTGGAATATACTTCACAACAAGATGTTTTTACTTGTTTTTATCCAACCAATAGGAATTAAAACCAAATAAAGATTTTAATAGTCAGCCATGGTTGTAGAGATTAATCAAATTTTACAGCTGTGTAACATTTAAGGCATAAGATTATGCCTTTATCTGCATTTTATTTATACGTATAACAGTTTAGATGCACAGAACATTTGCAGGTGAAATGCAGGTGTTAAGGCATCAATGTAATACATTGAATAAAAAAAAAAAATGTAAATAAAAAGTTTTTCCATTTAAAATTTAAATTGCTTTTAAAGTAGAGAACAACAATCTTTCAATTTGGTATACAGACAATTTCCTGACTTCACTTTTTTTATAAAATGCCTGAGCTGAACATACGTTTTTATGGCTTAAGGAGAGAAGTGGCATTTAGGCTGCCCTGCAAGAACTATAAAGCTGATTACAATAGGCGACAGCAATTGAATCCTTTGCTTAAATACTGAGGGAAGATTGGAGAATGACACTGAAAGCAGGTGAGATTATTAAGAGTTTAGGGACATTAGTGAAAGAGACCAAACAGGCAGATCGAGGACCAGTCCACATGGAGAAAAAAGTGCAATACTACCATTTTAAAGATGTTTTTTTTTAAGTGCACACAGAACCACTACAAAACACTGTAATGTGCATGTCTGGCCCATTAGTGGCGCTGTGACACAGCATTATAAAAACACAAAGGTGTCAAAACACAGAGCATACACTGAAAAAAAGAATTTGAATTGGTTAAATTTATTTCAGCCCCTTTAGTTACCCGATTGTTTCATTTTTTTAACCCTTTCAGCAGGATAAGATATGAAAAATAGTAATCAATAATTAAAGTGTTAAAGTAATTGAAGGGTCTTAAATAGACCCAATAGATGCTTGAATTCTTTTTTTCATTGTATACATGTCAGTTTCCCTTTTTCTACAATGTCAATTTATCAGGCTATATAAATTTCAGTGTACAGTGGGAAACACAGAACCAACCATCCATCTTCTCCAGCTTATTCTGCCAGGGAGGCGGTGGGGCCAGTGCGGATGCAGTCTATGGGTGAGAGGCAGGGGGAAATTCTGGACAGGTCGCCATTCTGTTGCAGGGCAACAACCATGGACACACACACTCACACATAAGGACAATTTAGAGATGCTAATTACAGTCGTGTTTTTGGACTGTGGCAGGAACCCAGAATACTCCATGTAGAAAGGCCCCAGGCCAGGAATCAAATCCGAAACCTTCTTGCTGCAAGGCATCAGTGCCACACAGAAATGGGGTGCTACTCAGAAAAGACTGTACTTTTCTGTGTGGTTTTCAAAAATTCTTTTTCGCTTTTTTAAGTTTAAAGGTATAGTGGAGGATTTTCGCAACATTTTTAGAAAGACCCACCCTCTCCACAAAAAAAAAGTGCATGCACAACCCTGTGCTTCTGAGAGAGAACGAGTGCACGCTCTGCTTTAATGTTGCTGTTTGCATCGCTTATACAAGCTGACTGTCCAAGAGAAAATGTGCAATTTTCCACTATGTCAGACTCACCACAGCTAAGTGAACATGGGGATGAGCTCATAGGACGGCCTTAGATAAAACATGTCACCAGAACGATTGACAATTAGGCGGACCACTTATTTTGATGATCAACCCGGAAAAAGAACATCTTCCACTAGTCCGTTAAATTTTTCATTTTCAGGTAAAAGTTTTTTTTTTTTTTTTTTAAGTTTTTTCTTATAAAATTCTTTCACCACCCAGAAGATGGCATACATTTATGGATACACCCAAACTTGTCGTGATGTGGACAGGGCCTGAGGGAAAAAGAATGTTTACCACCATATTAATTTGCAATGAATAATACAATTAATAACATCTGTCTCGCAATAATTAAAAAAATATATATACATGCAAGTATGTCAAAGGCAAGACCTTTTAAACAATAATGAAAAACTAAAATGTAATCAAAAAACAAACACCTTCACTGACTGTTCCTTTTAGTGAGATATTCATTTTGCAACAGCTTTTAAAAGGTTTATTTAAAAAGTAATACATTTAATGCCCAACATTGTTTTTTTATATTTAGGAAGCTTACAGAGTTCAACCATACAGAATTAAGACCGTCTCTACATTTCAAAAGCACAAGAATGCAAATCTTACCATCAGTTCATACATTTCTGTTAAATATAAATGTTTGTGCTTTAGTAGGTTAACTTATAATTTTTAAACTATATCTGCTCATAAACTGATCACCACAGTAGGAGCAAAGTGGAACATAAAAGGTGACAAAAAATTATTTTCTTCATATAGATACTCAAATATTAACATACACAGTATAAAGAGGCTGTACTTTTCCTTACTGTCTGACAATAACTCAGTAAAACTTGAACTTATTTTGGTTATTGACAAATAATTTAATTATGACTTTCTTAGATGCCAGAATAATAATAAGATGTAGTTTTTCAGGTTTTATGTGCAACTCTTCATTAAGACTGTGGCTGTAAAGCCAACCAACAGGGGTCAGAAATACACTGTTTAACTCACAGACATCAGTCTATTATAATTACAGTGTAAGAGGTGTTGAATACTAACTAATGCCTTTAAATATTCTCAGCAGTATTTTTCACAATACAAAAAAAAAAGTTATAATTTTCATCAACTTATCGACTAAACACAGCTTTACTTCCCTGTTTCTATAATATCCAAGAAACCTAAACCAGCCAAGTAAACTTTAGGTAGATCAGTTTTTAGTAACTTTTTACACATAATAGAGGCTCAAAAGTTTTTGTGATTTAACACTGGTATGTTGACAGCAGAAAAACCCACCCAAGTGCACTGTGTCCAACTTCACCTCCAAACATGTGAAAACATAGCCTGTGCTCAGGGGGACTTCAAGGAGGAATTAGAAAAGCTGAAGAACTGGTTTGTCGGCGAGCTTTTCTTTCAGTAGAGGCTGTCCCAGTGCGCGCTCAGGTTCTGATGTCATCTCAGTGAAGAATGGAGAAAGAACTCGTAAGGAAATCAAAATGCTGCTCTGCTCGGTGAACAGAATGAGGCCTGGTGAACTACAGCTATCTGTTCATTTCACACTTCTTGCTTTCACCTCAGTACCAGTACAAGTCCTTCTTATCCGCATGTCGCCCTGAATGCAAGGGAAAAAATGATCAAATAGAGTCAAACAATGCATGGTTAGGGAATCATAATCAATCCACCATCACAGTTTTAATATATTTTTGTATGTTTTTGACTGCATGTTAGTCTAATCTAGATTAGATTATTTTAATTACCAGGTTCAAAGACAATAGGAGAGTCCACAGACTCCCTAAACCCTGGGGGGACGCTCCAGCTTGGTAAAGGGTCCGGCTTAGAGCTAGAGGCAATGCTTGCTCCAAGTTCTCCCCTGTCACCATGCAGCAGGTTAAGCAGGGATGTGGAGTACTGCTGTCCAGTGAGATTTAACCCATCTGGGGACAGGGAGCACATGATGGTTGATAGGGCCGGACCTTCACTCGATCTGAATGTGTTCCAGGAACCCGGGGTCTCCTCTGCTGAGCTGAGGGTGAGGATGTGTCCGCCTACAGGTGGTACCTGGGATTCAGAATAAGGGACGGACATTCTACGCTGACAGTCGTCTGTGCTCTCTGTGGGGGCAAAAAATAATAATACTCTGAGAAAATGCAGTGAAATCATGTGTGATTTTAGGTATTTATTGTAAACACCTACCCATTTTTACAGTTTTGCGGATTTTCTTTGATCTTGCAGCGGTCTCGTTTGCCTTGATTTTGCCAAGAGCTCGCGAGAAGTGTTCATCCACCATGCTGTTGATGTCCCCCTGGAAGTATGTCAGGATGATGCTGTGAGGGTTTCCCTCCACTTTCACCGCTTTGGGGCTCTCTCCTTGTTCCTCCATGGTTCAACTGCAACTAAAACACATTTTAAAACAAAGCATCAGAAGAACACATTTCTTCATTTTCTTTTCTCAATAAAAAAATAATATAATGCAACCATTTTTGGCATTTACTAAATCACATATAGTTACTTTAACACAATTGTTTCATGTCAGCAGGATAGAACACAAAACAATTGTGTAAAAATAACTAAATATGATAAAGTAAATGCCAAAAGAGGATGCATTACTTTTTTCAGTATATAGAAATTGTTTTCTTTTGCGTAAAAGAATAAAAAAGCAGATTTTTTTAACTGTTCCTGACATAACCTATTAAAAAATAGCAGCAAAGCAGCTATAGTTATCCAAAAAAAAGTAAAACAATGACAAGTTTAGCTTACTTTCTTTAAAAAAACAACAACATTTTAATTTATCTGGGAATAAACAGCCCATACAGCTTGAATAGCAGAAACACAGAACCCATTTTGTACTCCATTTTAGTCCAATGGATGCAGCCCGTCAGCAAGTTTAAAAGAAATACATCCAAGTTAGAAATTTGTCTCTAGATAGAAAGCCTCTATCAAATATCACAATACATTGTACAATGGGTTTCATTCACAAAAAACTGATGATATTCTGTTTAATTTACGTTTGAAAAAAGCCTAACAGTGATAAAACTCCTTTTAAGATCGAAGAGAATCCTTTTTGCTGGCCTTTTTCGTCACTCTCCAAAGGTTCTCTATCATATTTAGTTAAAGACCTAAGACTGCTTCAAAATATTGATTTTACTTTCAATTAGACAGAGCATGTCGATCTTTAAAATATTAAAAGATGACACTTAAGTTTCAATCTCTCAAAGGTATGCACAGGTATTAGCTTAATTGTACATTTATATACATCAGAAATTTTGCAATTTGCTAAAGAAGTAGGTCATAGCTCTAAAAAAAGTTTATAGTTCATGTTGTTAATTTTTTGGTATTTCCAAAAAGGTTTGCATTTTAGTGAATATTATTCAAATAACTTCGTACATGCTTTTAACTTGCTTTAAATGTAACTGAACCTTTGCCTACTTTCTGTGTACCAACTCATCCCATGTATCTGATAAGAAGAGACATACTTGTCTTACCCGTCCTGATGACTGAACAATGTTGAACGAGGACCACAGCTTGCATTGACTGCTCGATCGAACAGAAGAACAGCAGAGTTTACAAGAAGATTGGGAAAATAGAGCATCGATTTAGTTAGCTGCTATCGTTCTCACCGTCTCCTCTACAAAGTGAGTTTTTTTTTTACCCACAGAGAGTGTAAGCTCACTGGATAATTTAGCTGGGGAGGGTGACAGCTATGATTAGAATGCTATCCAGCAGGTTCCTCTGGAGTTTAAACCGCAACTTAATCAAAACATTCCTGGTTAACACAGTTCAACTACAGCTCTTCTTTGACTTTATCTCAGCCTCAACTTTACTAAGATTGCTTTTGCAGTTACTGAAGATATAAAAAAATTCTTTCTCTATTTAAAGAGCAATTTGACATCAAATGGTCCAGGGTTGTTTAGTGGTCATTTTTAACCCTCCAAATTAGTGCCTGGTTACAGAAGTTACATCCCTTTAAGTTTTTCGCATTTTTTCCCATCATAACCACAAATGTGGGGATTTTATGTAGTTAATGATGTAGTAAATGTAGATCAGGGCCTCTGCTACCTTTGTTTCTGGCACCAAATTGCTCTTTAAATCCTCTAAAGTGGCTCTTGATACCTTGAGATAAAAACTGATAAATAAAAAATGTATGTTTAATATAGGCTAGATATATTAATGACAATTTTTTAGCAAGTTTTCTTCTTCTTAAATGGGCCAGTGGTACGGTATATCAGATTAATTAATCTGTTCTGTATTTTCAAAACTATGTCTCTTTTTTATAACATACGTTTCCCCCCCAACATTAGGATCCTGTTTGGGAAAATGTATATTTTTTTATACAAGGTTTTATTTTACTCTATTTTAAATGAAAATATACTAAATTGTGGCTATTAAGAAAATACATTTAAGTGGTAGAAATTTAAATATATAAGTAGTCTTTTTTAAAAAGGTCATGTAAGATTAGCTCCAGTTTTTTTTTTGTTTTTTTTGGCTGGACTCAATGTCAAAGTGGCTTTTTAGACCTTTAAGTTTGCAGAGTATACAAATACACAAATATATATATTTTTAGAAACAAAGGTCTATTGCTGTATATATTTTTTATATTCCTTAAGACAACATGTACGTACACAAACCACCAATCTTAAACTCAGTCAGATCAGTACATTTCCATTTCAGACAAACAGATGTTTTGCAGTCTGAATGTTTCAGGGCCTTTCTAATTTTGATAAATTAAATAAACTCTATTGCACCTTTGGGTGTATGCTAAGGGTTGTTACACTGTTAGTAAAATAAAACGTTTTTGTGCAGCACCAAATCATAACTTACTACCTTAGAGTTTGAAGTAATGAAAAAGTAAATGTTTTTATAGTTTTAATTTCCAAATATGTAAAAAGGTCCATTAATGCTTAAGATGATTTTTTTTTTCTCTGACAACATTTTATTTGTTGTACTGTTTTATTTTTAAAAAATTTTTAAATTAAAACTAATTTTAAAGTAATATATCAAATAAACTGGTATGGAGCAGGGTGGTCCAAAGGTCTTGCATAAACAAAATCAGAAATCAAATTAAAATCTGAAAACTGAAAAAATACCAACAAAAAAAGATCCATCCATCCATCCATCCATCCATCCATCCATCCATCCATCCATCCATCCATCCATCCATCCATCCATCCATCCAGCCAGCCATCCAGCCAGCCAGCCAGCCAGCCAGCCAGCCAGCCAGCCAATCAGCCAGCCAG